CCAGGTTCGTGTGAGCAGGAACGTGTCAGCGGGAAAGAATCTCGAGTTACGAGTCGAGAGCTTACAAGTCTCCACCCATTCCCACGCATATCTGATCATGACTTAGTATGACTTTGACTAAGCAGCTGGTATTTAGGAGTCTGCTATGAAGACTGAAATGGTAATCGGTGATCGACGAATGCTACGATTGAAGATCGAAGTGATGGTCCTGCAGAAGTGTCATGAACAAACCGATCCCAATTGTAAACAGCACTTTGTGGCGTTTGTAGACAGGGGAAAAACGGCCAAATTCAAAGTAATTCTCCTCCTCTCCATGATAGGCCTTCTTCACTGAAACTGCACTTTTCAGTTTCTTGTAATGGGTCTTGTTTGGAAATCTTTAGAAGATATTCGAAGAGATATACTCGGTCACAATTACAGTAGATCAACAGTTATACAATGCAGTATACAGACATTAATCGCCGTTCGAGATCTCCACGGTATAGGATACTTACATAGGGAAGTCAAGTGCTCCAGCTTGTTCCTTCTATTTTGTTGTTACAACAGAAGAAGTCCCATCGATGGGAACGTCCTCACCCGAGGAAGTGGGGTGGGGAGGGAATGAGGGAGGAGGGACGGTCGTTTTGTGACCAGTACGTGGGACTTCACCAACAAAGATCAGCAGTGGAAGAGTAACGACTATGGTCCCACACAGAATGTCGTTCATTTTCCATAGAAGAAAGGAGGGGGGGGGGGGTTGCACTTGGGTCAATATTGTGAACTTGATAACTCCAATGACTGGTTAGTAATACTGATCGTAGCAAAACCACTGGTGTTTCGAGTCAACTAGCTAGGAAATATGAGCAGTTTCAAACCGTGTGGACAGTTGCCGGTTCAGGCAGGGGTGGCTCAGTGATGTGGCTCGTTTTATGTGGCAACGTTTCCTTGTGCCATATGCGTTCTCGTTTATCTCTCTGCGCCAAGCCTGTTCTACGCCACAGCGACTACACCTGGCTCTGTAACCACGCCCCTTCTCTACACCGTGGTATGGAATGACCACGGTATAGCCTTGTTTGCTACGGATACTAGCGCATGTCAAAGTGGCCGCGTTGGAGTAGCGCCAGTCCTATTTGGCAAGCGGCAATTGCAGAAACTGGTGGTAGACGGAGCTAGCGCCGTTGCGCAAAACATCCCCTGGCACCCTTCGCCAGTAAGCACCGAACAAGGTATTTCATAAGTTTGCAGCTGTCTAGTCTTCAGATATTTCCTATTATGTTCTTCCTACAACTGACCCCTCAATTTTGTAAGAAGCCAGAAAACATTTTGAGATATTTTCATTTCATAGCTACTTGTTTCAGGGATATAAAGCCCCAAAATTATGCAGTTGGTCTTGCAGAACAGCAAAATATGGTTTATATGTTAGATTTTGGTATTGCTCGAAAGTATACCGTAGGCGATACTAAGGAAGTCAAGTCAGTCTGAGAAACCATTATTGACAAAGTCGGATAAGTGTTGAGGGTACTGAAAGGATGGCTCCGTTTTATAGTTTCTCTATTCAGATTACCAAGAGCCAAAGTAAGCTTTCTCGGTACAGTACGATTCGCATCACGGGCATGTCACAAAAACCTCGAGCAAGGGCGAAAAGACGACTTGGAGTCCTGGATCTTCATGGTATATGTCCCTTTAGCTCTATGAAGAAAAAAGGTAAACGCCCACCCTAAAATGAACGCATTAGCAGATGCGTCAATGCCTGTCGTCTTGCATGTTTCTGTGCTCTCCCTCCTGTCTTTGTTGTCTAGCCTCTCATCTGAGAGCAGGTTATTTCGTCATCATACGTTCATGCAAAGCTCAAAGTCAACCCAGTGAAGAGGGTCTTACATAGGACCCTTCCCGCTGTCTCCTGTTTTTTTTAAGACGATCCATCGAAACGCATTTTTTCATACCCCTACAGTGGACTCCAGATCTTATCTCGTTCAACAATCTTTCCGTTCGCAATCAGCCGGCCAGTCAAAGGGATGGACGGCGCAGTTTGTCGGTGGGGGGGGGGGGGGGGAATTTGCCTCATAGATGTGTCGACCCATTTAGGTAGCCGTTTCTCGAGTTGACACGTTTTAGGATAGTGGCTAGACGATCTTACTTCAGCTTCACAAGAGTTCACAAGTTTTACCAGAGTGAGATTTGTAAACCGGAACTAGGGAAGCAATGATAATACAAAATGCCCCCCCCCGTCGACAAACAGCGCCGGGATGGACTGGACCCACCCACGGTTCCACCACTGGGTGTTCTTGTACTAATTCGATCACTAATCGATCACCAATGGTAGAGCAATGCAGCCGAGGGGGGACTGCAACGTCCGTCTGATTGCATGCAACGCCATCAACTATACAACCCAAGTGCAAAATTTACTCTCCACGCAAGTAGTAATGTTATGCTCCCTCAGATATATGAGCTATTCGACGATGCATACGGCTTACCGTGGAAGAGAGCTGATCGTACAAAAGTTCTACCACTCAAAGAAAAATTCTTCAAGAATCAAAGTACGTAGGTGTTGCACAAAATGGCTGTTACTTTCTATCAATCACCATCAATCGCCGTTTCAGTAACAAAATGTTACAAAGTGGTTCCAGCTGATTTTAAGCGTATCGTCGAGTACATTGATGGGATGCAATTTGCTGACGAACCCGATTATGTGTCAGTTTTCCTGCCCTTCGTTTTTCTTTTGTTATTCATAGCTTTGACATGAAGAAAATGAAGCGGGAGAGGGTTTGATCCCATGGGACTCCTACAGATGGCCCAGATGGTGTTTGACTCCACCCTCCCCCTCGCCCATATCGTCGCAGAGAAGATGAATAGTAGGCCTTTTCTCTGAATTATCAAGGGCCTGTTTCAGTTATATAACGAACTCGTTAAACAATATAGCCAAAGAGCATAAAATCGATCTCACACGTAAATTGGACTGGATTGGTGTCACGCCGAAACCTCAGAAGAAGAAAAGAGAAGTACGTTATGATAGTCTTCTGCGATGTCGATAATACAT